TTAAGGAGCTGTAAGTGCAAAAAAACCCAAAACAGAGACAAAAATACTAAATTTTCGAAGTTTAGTACACAAACCTTGCTTTTTAAATGTTCTTTTGCTCATTTTTGCACAGGACTATAGGGTTGTATCCCGATGCTTCCAGATTTGGAATTTTCTTTGCTGCTGTTCTAGCGTCTCATATAATTGGTGAGCTACTAACACTAGTTATACTTGGCATGGTTCAAAACCCAAATATAGTCCAAAGTGGAGTGGTGCTACTTAATTCAGCTGGTGTGATAGTGGGAACAGGACTAGTAAGGTAAGAAAAAACTTATTTTGTTATAGTGTTAGTGTTAAAATGAACTACCTAAAGAAGAGTTTTCTGAACATTCTGTATTGCAGAAGTCCAATAATGCACAGGTAGTAATGGAAAGCAAGTGCAACTGTGCTCCTTCAGAGGTAGAACTACCTAATCTTGTTCGACCTTGTACTAAATACAGAAACCAGACACTTAATATCTCTAGATATCAACAAAGATATTGAAGATTTCCCCCACTTTTTGCAAATAAATTGAAAATAAAATGGAACAATTAATATCTATAAACTCACATGAATTCTTTCACTGAAGCTGACATTATGATGTGAAATGCTATCCTCATTAAAGCAGCCCAAAAAAACCATTCATACAGCTTTTAGTAACTGCTGAAACTTATCAGACACTAAACATTGATAATGATGGTTTAAAAAAACAGTTGTTCTCAACTATCTTACTAGTGTTATTCTCCAGTTTAGTCTGTAATTTTTTCAGTCACTTTTTCTACCTGTGCAGATTGAACTAAATGAAAATAATAAATAAAAAAGTAGTATAGTAAATATGTGGGAAATTTGTGATCCACTTGCTCTATTACTGTGCAAATGAATGTTTTTGCACTGTAATTGCATGAAGTTTGAACAGTTTTCCCCTTGTAATTGTCAATAGTGAAATTGCTGGGGTTTTTTTGAGGAACTTAACCAAAGTAAATGTGTAATTGTCAAATGAAGTTTTCTTTATATGTGAGCAAGTAGGAGATGCTCACCTGAGTCCCTCCCAGAGAAAATGAAGAAAGCCCAATGATGTCAAGTTGTCCTCAAGAAAACTGTATGAGTCCTCACAATGTTGATAATGCTTTGTCTCTTCAAAGTAGATCCCAGATAATACTTATCAAATAAAGCTAGGTTAATGTCTATTTTTTGGTCCCTGCCTAATTTCAGGAAGTTGTATGTTTACAGTGACAAGACAGTTATTCCTGCTACCATAGTCTAATGCCTTAATGATAATTTTTAAGAGCATTAAATGGTTTTTAACCTTATTTTACAGTAAAGACAATGCTAATTAATATTTTTGATTAATCTTCATAGGCAGTGAAGTATGTTAAAAATAGCATTGAGACTTGGGTTGCTGGGTTTTATTCTGTTAATTATTTTTTTTTAATTATAAAGTCTTGAAGTATTTTAGGTGCTGAAATTGCCCAGTCTTTCTAAATGTTTCTTCTCACTATTTTTACTTCATTCTTGTTTTGTTATTACTGCTCCAGTGAATTGCTATTCAATGTTTTTTGGTTTTGAAGGTAGAGGGAGTGGGGGGTGGTTTCTTACTTTGGAAGTAATACATTTTGGCAACTAAGGTTTATACTGGGTCTTGTCATTTTCAGTTTATCACTGCAGTGTGGACAGCAAACCACCATAGAATTATTTCTGACTGTCCATAAACATGTCAGGGCTGAATGTTATGACACTGTACCAAAGCCAGAGACAGCCTTCATGGTTGTCTTCTCACTTAGCTCTAAAAATGGACTTTATGTTTGAAAAACCTACAGGTACAGACAAGAACTGTTTCTGTCACAGGCTACAACCAATGATGAGAGCTTGTTTTCATTTGGGGGCTCTTGGAATTTAGCAAAAGCCAGTTTAACTTCTCTGTTTCTTTAAGGACCATCGAAGAAATGCCAACACCTTTTAAACTACTCAGTTTTCTTACCTTTCAAAAATACACCAGCGAAGTTCTTATAGTCAATGAATTTTATGGCTTAAACTTCACATGTGGTAAGTGTTCAAAAAAAGAAGTCCATTATAAAGTTTAATGAGGTGTTGATGCTTATTTTCCTTCTATATACGTGTATCTTGATAAAATAAAGATAACTTTTGAGTTGTTAAAAAATGCTTATTAATTACTAAAGACTATAATGCCTCGTCAGCAAGCTAGACCAGAGTTTGATTCTTTTGTTTCAACCATTTCTCATTCTTTCACAGTTCTTCATCTTTCTCTTCTTCACCTGTTCTCTTATCCTGTCTTTGGGGGCATTTTGGAAATTAAGTTTGTAACAGGCTGCAAAGTTTTTCGGAGCAGTGTTACGCAAATAGAAGATTAATAGAATTGCACAATATAAGATCAAACATCAGTGCAGGGAATACTGACAGGTAACACCTGACCAGATGTTTCTTTTAATAGTAGTGAGGCTTCAGTTCAAGTACTGAATAATACTAGTAATAGTGAGTCTTCAGTACCATGTTACCATGGTACACATTGAGCAGCTTGGATCTGTCAGGCTGTGCTTTGCTGGTTGTGAGCAAGATAAGCAGCAAAAGATTGGAATCAATTAGGTTATCAGTGTTGGTAGCTAACATCCACTAGTGGGGGTAAAACTTACAGCTTTGGACCTATCCTAAGATATGTGGGGCTTTGTAGCCAGGTGTCTCTGCTCCTCTCCAAGGCTATATATTCTGTACCCATTAATCTCTCTTACCCTCTTTATTACAAGAGCACAAATAGCAACTGCTGGAAAACAAATCCATGACTTTGTTAGTACTAACAAACAGCTTGTTTTTAATGTGCCTTTCAGACAGTCCCATTTCTTGAATTTTGGAACCACTCAACACATCTGAAGCCTCTAAGTCTACCACATGGGGCACCTTGCTTCTTGAGGCCCTTCCAGATAATGTGTCTGAAAAGCCATAAATCTTTGTTTGGCGTAAACAAAAGACAGAGCTCCTAGTGACCCTTTTTTCTTCCCTTCAAAAAGTGTGGCATAGATTAACTGCAGAAACATATGGCTTCTCTGTTGTTATTCCAAAGTGCTGACAAACACTGCTGTGGGTATAGTTAATCATTGAAATTACATCAGGGCTGGGTGTATTAAATGCGTGAGATAGATAACGAGGTCTGAGTTTTAATTTTATTGACTTATCTGCTAAAGAAACTATTTGTTTCTTTTGACAGGTGGAGCCAACAGTTCCACTGCAAATAATGCTGCATGCATTTTCTCTCAAGGCATTCAGTTCATTGACAAAAACTTCCCTGGTGCCTTGTCCCGGTTCACAATTGATTTCCTAATACTCTATGCTTTTCTACCGGTACTTGCCATCATAGCAATTCTAAGCTTCAAAATAAGGGAGAGAATTATTGACAGGCAATAAAAAGGTAGGAGTTCCAACAATGTCTAATGCTACACTTGTGACTTTATTATGGCCAAAGGCTTAAATTATTGGATTTTAGATAGTATTTAAGTGATTACACATTCATCTCATGTTTGTTTCCATCTTGAAAAACAATGTTCTCTTAAGAGTGGGACTGGCTTCCAGATATTGGTATTCTCACTCCTGTCCCAGATCAGTCATAATCAACAGTATTTCATGTTTTAAAGGACTTTTTGAATTTAATTTTGTTAGCTGTTGCTGACAATTTCTAACAACATAGCAGTGGTGCTCTAATTTTTTTCCTCATTATTTTGGTTTTTAACTATTACCAATAAGCAGAGGGGTACAACTGCTAGTAAATCTCATTTCTAGAATTGTATTTTAAGTCCCATGCTTTGTTTTGATACCATTTTAGGGATTTGTAGAAAGGAAACAAACCAAATAAATGTAAAGACAGAATGAAGAGGTCACTCCACTTTACTCTTACACACACTATACAACCAAGGAGTGCAGATTTTGTAGCAGTATCAAAGTTACCCAACATGTTTTTGCCTTGTGAATGATGGTAAATCAGTGAAGATAGTTATTTATATCTATTCCTTCTTTCAAGTTCTAAATCTTGTTTCGAAAGCAGTTTGTGAATTACTAGAAAACAAATTTGTTTAATAAGGTTTTGGTTTTGTTCAATAAAATGTCAATTAATAGGCAAAAATCATAAAAGTTGTTTGTCAGTTCTTGGAAGCAATGTCATTTTTGTCTTCAGAAATTATTCTTGTGGGCCTCTCAAAATTGAAAGCATAAGAGACACAGAATTCCTACATTTTGTAACTTATTTTCATGTTCAGTGAAGAAATTATTTTTTGCAGAGGGATTGCTAGAGATTTCTTCAAGTATATTTGTATCTTAAAATTCCATAATTTCATAATTGGTTTTATATGATAGTTTTGAGATGAGGCACTTCGTAATGAAGAATTTTAAATCCAATCCTAAAGGTAATGCAATATTTTCACTTAAATGTGAGGCCAAGATTTTTTTCTAATATCTTTATGTATAACATTCTGAGATACAAAAGTTTTATCAGAAAAACACTTGGTGAAAAAATACGTTAAAAATAACAACTGACATTTAAGAGCTGGAAAGACACCACATTAAAACTAATGTGGTCTCTCCCATTTTTATGTTAATGTAGGGTTGATCCGGTCTGCCAAGTGACTGTTCAGACATCTACCCTCAGACAAGTCTTAGCTCTCAAGAGACTCCTCTGGCTTTATTCTAGATTGTCTTGTGTATTCTCAAAACACTCAGTCCATCTCCTACTAGGGAGGGTGTCCACGGACAAAAACCATACCTAGTTTACACTAGGATTTCACAAACTTAGGCTGAATGTGAATCAATAACAGTTCCAGCACTAGCCAAATATCTGTCAAATTAATTAGATGACTTCCTAGCACTTGAATATATGACAGAAATGTCCATCTTCTAAACTCTGTGCAAAGTTATTACAACATTTTACTTTCCAAGACATAATTCCTGTATTAAGCTATATGATTTTGAAACAGAGATCTGGATCCAGGTCAAAGAATGTTTTACACTTTATTCTGCCAGGTTTTTATTTATTTATTCAAATATATCAAACAATGAAGCAGGTATTTCTTAAGGTTTGCTTTTGACTTATACATGCAAAGAACTAGAAAAAGATGCCCACCACACTCTACTACAGTTTCATATTTTGGGTGTGAAAACTTGTTTATATTTAAATACGTTTAGGGCAGAAGTATTTAAAAATAAACCAAATAATGTGGTGTAAAATAGGTAGAACTGACTAATGCCAGTCTTTATGTTCAAACCCACCTGTGAGCAATCTAGAATTCTTGTCTCCCCACTTTTTAAAACTGTGCCAGTGCCGAGATTCACAAATTTGGACTGAATGAACAGCTCTTTTTATGAAAAATACTAACAGGGATGCTTAATAAATACTAATTTTGTAGTTTGATAATATGCATTTTCAACTGCATCAGATGAAATTGCTAGTGTAATGTTAAAATAATTTTGTAAACATTGTTAAACTGAAGACACCTACAGCAGCTCATCAATCGGAGTCAAAATCCATTTCTTTCCAGGATTTAGAGGCATTTCTTTTGTACTGTTCAAGTTCCTAAAACAGAAACATAAATACATATTAAACTAATCTTCTCATTGCTAAAAACTGCAAAAAATTTAAATTTTTAGTTGGCTAATGTATGTATAAAAACTTTTCAATGTAGAAAAAATGTACTACATTTATATTTAACAAAATTATACTAGAAGTGCTATAAATTTTGTCACGTTTACTCCCATATAGGGAGAAAGATTTTATTTATTCATGCCTAGATACTTTACAGGAAAGAGAAAATTTTGTCTCTTATCTTAGACATTCAGATTGAGAAACCAGGCTCCCTATGAACATACAGAAATATAACAATACACATTTTAAAAAGAGAAACCACAACTACCCATCAGAAACTGCTGTTTCACGCACATCAAGGTGCTGCTGTTTAGTGGATTCCAAGTTAGCATCTGCACGTAAACATGCAAACCCAAGGTGGTTATTAAAATTATCCATCTTTTAGCTAGATTATTAAAAGCAATCAGAGGCTTAAATTGTGGAGGCATACAGCAAGCAAATTAGGTATGAAAGATGAGGCAGGCTATATTTTGAGGTCAGCGGAGTACTAGCAAGGCAGACAAATGACCTCACTTCAGTCAAATGTGCTACTGGGAACTTTGAAGCCTGTAATAAGAGGTTCTATCAACATTACTAAACAACAGTTTCCTCTGCTGAATTTTATGTAGTGGTGTGCACTGTCAGGAATTATTTCTGAAGTTTTTTTTAAGAAAAAAAATTAATTTAGGAAGCACTACAATTGCTTTTTGTTTATTTAAAAGTAAGGCTTGCAACCTATTTACAGGAAGATGATGCTCTAATAAGGTACTGCTAGACCTAGGTGTGTACTGCTTGCAAGACAAGAAAAGTCACCATATTTTATTTAGATCAGAAAAGAGGTGGACATAAACTAGTGATTAGAATAAATGTAGTGCAGACCCTCAAAAGTGGACATGTATTTTATGATTATTATTTTTATTTTAATAGAATTGACTATATTAATATACAGAATTCTATATTTAATAGAGTATTTTAATATGATAGAGGAAGGGAGGTCTTGCTGTAGGTATGCAGGTACCAGAACTGACAAAAATAACAAAATTCCCACCTAGTGAATTTAATATTAGTATTAACTCTCAATCCAGCACAGAGGGAGGAAGAAGAAAACAAAGGTCAGAGCAACAAAGCAATCGTCTTAAGATTGTATGAAAATAATAAATGAAATTTTCTCTCAGGAAGTAACTTTAGCAGCTTTGTCAGCCGTGCAGAGTTTTCAGAAAACAGATGTATGAGCAGTAAGAAGATTTTTAGTTAGTGCACATTCTTCCTGATGCTTGCAGGAGTCTAATTTTACAGTTTTTTAACTCAATAGTTACATTAGAACATACTGTGTCTAGTCTAAATCTAGTAAGTCACATTATTAGATACAACTCCAGTAGTACTGAGCTGTTCTGTGTCTAAGCTGGTCTTTACTCAGTATTTTCACTCCCTTATTATTAATATAAAGCAATTTTGATCTTGGAACGTACAGATCTGTTGGAAACTTGCCAACAGTTAGGAATAGAAAGAATACTGTGATATTTTAAGGAGCACATGTAACCTGCTTTATGCTAAGTAAGTAATTTCAATTGTAACAACTTTCTGAAAGGCTTCAAGAAGGGGTAAAATTAGACAATGGAGTTTTACAAATAACGACAATACTGTCTGGGGGTCATGTCTACAGGTGTTGGCTAAATAATTAGCCTTACAGACTTATCATCTGACTAAACTATTTCAAGAGAGAGGCAGATAATTTAGCAGAATTTATTTTGCTGTAATTTGAGCTAGCCTAGAAAGCAATTCAGTGTAAAGTCAATTCAAAACAATACAAAAATGCAAATTGACAAACCACAGCATCTATTAGGACTGTACAGCTTTTCCACTACATACACAAGTACAGAACAAAATTATAAAAATTTGGTTTGGATGTATATCTAGATAAGGCCAACATTTAAACAATGAGCAATGAAAGAAAAAGAAAAATTAATTAAATAGGAGGACATTTACCAAAAAAATAATCTTTAACGAATCTCAGTGATTCAGGAGGAAAAATGCTGTCAGGTAAGTACACTTTCTTCATTTATGTGCAAAACAGAAAGTAAAATACATCCTTGTAAGTCAGAAATGTAATGGAAAAATCTTTCAAATACAGTTTCAAGATCACTCCAGAGACCCTCTTGGAAAAGGGCACCTTCCTGCTCTTAAAGTTCTATACTACAAACATAAACAGAATTGTAGAATATATTGCAATGATGCAATCAGCTAAGAGGTCTTCTCCCCAAAGTGAAAGAAGGTCCTGCAAAGGAATATGTCTTAAAGTACTCCAAAATCTTCATGCTAGCATTATGCTATGTTTGTTTTGTGGGTAGCAAGTGTAGGGGGCAGGGATCAGATTTACGAAGAAATAACAATTGCAATTTAAATGTGCTTTCAGAGTGCTCTGAATGTTTAAACATTATTAGTGCGAGCACTTATCACAGATATCTCAACACTGGGATAAAGTGGATTTAAATTTTTTTTAAGCCTTAATGCTTCTGTACTTCTGTGTTTCTGTAAATTCTTCATCTGTCAAATGGGGAAGATCACACCTAATCTCATAAAGGGATTGGGAAGAAAGACTTAAATGATGTTTGTGAGGCACTCAGATAAGATAACATTACCACACATTCTCAGAGGAAAAAAAAATTAATACTTTTGTGTTCATTGAAGTGTCTGAATGGCAGGTTGAGAAATAAGGTACATAAAGAACAAGGATGATGAAAAGAAATACTGAACAATTGAGTTGAGACATCAGCAAAATAGTATATGATCATGTAATTAAAGACAATACCATAATGTCTACAAACAAGAAGGAAAAATTAAGATTGTAGGAAAAGCCTTAATTGTTGCATTTCTTCAGTTCTGAGTGACTGATATGACTTTACTTTTCATGCAGCTTCTTACTAGAAGTGCCCTCAATCTGGAACATGGTGAAAATAACCAACTACTGAAATACTGATTCAAAATCTTCAGCACCTGGTGCTCTTTAAGTTGGTTTAAAAATTAAATCTTTTTTTACCCATTTGGACATGCTTTCATGTGAAAACAAGAAATCTTGTTCTTGGCAGTTGAGTAAACATCCTAAATTACTTTTTCTCCCCATTATGAAGACTAGGACATCTCCTCCTCTGGAGAGAAAGAAAAGTGGTACTGCTTTGTTACCCAAGTAGGTGCCTGTCACACTTCTCTGCCTGGTAACACTGGTCTGACCAAGGAAGTTCATGGCACAGTATGCAATTTTCTGTTTCATTGAATAAGACTGAAATTGTCTCCTGAAGTTCAGCACTATGTTCATGATGTCAAAGTATGTTGAAAAAACCTGGCTCTCATTTTATTGGCCAGTCCAATCCCCATCTCAGACAGATTGCTGCAGATCTGACACAGAGGTGACACTTATCTGAGTGACATGGTTAATTAGGTCCCTCCAAATTTAGGGGAAAAAAGGCTATTCTTCCTTGTGAGATGGGGTAGAACCTTCTTGAATTCATGCCCTGTTAAAGTCTTAAGAGTTGGAGCCCTGTTCTTTAAGATCTGCTGCCATTACTTCTTGTTAGCTGACACCAAATGGCACCAGGCATCTACTTGTTTTGGAGTGTACTTCAATGGCATGAGGCTTCAGCTAAAACTGGCACCAATCCCCAAGTAATAGCTCTGTGTAACAAGGACCAGTCAGTGTGACCTTTGGGACTGCATGACCTGAGTACCTGTGTAGGCTCTGTAATTCTTCGAGCTCAAGGTTGGCTTTATCAGTTGCATCAATAAATGAAGCTGCAGTCAAATGTCCAGATCAAAAAGGTCCAAGTACCCATTTTGAATATTAGCAGTGAAGGCATAACAGGAAACAAAGAAAAACCTCCGAAAAGACGTCTTAGAAAACTTACATCTGTGACACAGAGCATTGCCAAAGGAAACAGAGCAGACATCCCCATGTACCATCTCACTGCTACAAACATTTAGAAGGAACTAAGGAACAAGACTTTCATGCCCTCATAGGTGCTTACATACGTAAGTGGTGTATGTTTAGCTCTGATCAACAATATTTTTTTAAAAGATCTCACTCTTGTTCAAGTTATGTGTGTATCAAAAATGAAACTAATGTGACCTTAAGGCATCCAAAGCCAAAAAGCTAAGAGGGAATGGAGAGAAATGGATGACAAATTTGCCATGTTGTTTATGGCTGAAGAGTTAAGCAAAAGCTAGACATTAAAGGCCTAATAACTATGCAAAATGAATGTTTTTCTCGAATCTTGAAAGCCCTGTGCAAAGAGCACAAAAGTTCAGTAAATCCTGGAGAGAATCTCCTAGTTAAGAATTACATTAGAAATGTAAATTCCAAAAGGGTCCCTGGTGCTGTATTCTCTCAGAGTTTAACTGTAGAGAATAAAAAGGCAGTATACAATTGCAACAGCACTATTTGATACAAACCTGTACTATGTATGTCTGTGGGGCAAGAACTAGGAAAAGAATTCTGAAAAGGCATAGATGAGAAAGAGGGATGTGCTCTATCTTGAAGAAAGGCCTCAGAGAGCTTTCCAGAGCAAAAACATTTAGAAAGAGTGTGGCATGTCTCATAGTCAAATCTGAAAATATTAAGGAGGCAAAATAATCTGGTCTAAAAGAAAACACTGCTGTGGCTGAATTCTGATAAGCTGGACTTTAAACTTATATGGCCAAAAAGCATCTCAGATAAATACTTGCTGACAACGAGTACCTGGGAATCAGCTGGATACTTTCTCAATTCTGTACTTTTCTGTAAAAAAACTTTTTTCTACTTTTATCCTCGAGAATTCAACCTTTTACTCTGCTGGAATTCAGGTAAACCCTTCAACCAAGGTTACAAAGTTGGAAATTACTTATTTAAGTTTTGTATTGCCACAGTTATTATAAATCTGTATTATTGAGCAATCCTGACCGAATCAGTCAGGTGTGCTGGTTCTACTGTCAGACACAGTGACAGGGCTGCATTTTGTTTCTGTTGCTGGTTTTGTGTTTATTTTTCTTTTAAAGCTTATCTTTGAGATAAACAAGCAAACTGGTTATCACTTAGAGTCCAAAGTAACATTAATTAACCAAATGTAACCAAGAGAAATGATAACATGAAAACATTCACTGTTATCATGTGAAACTTTAATTTTGCATTATGTCCCATGATTTCATTAGTAACATGTTGCATATTAAACATCTTAATATACTGTTCCTCCTACAACAAATACCATGGGACTATACAAAAAATGTCAGACTTATGATGCATTTAAAATGTTGCTTTAAATACAGGATTTTTGTGCCACTTTTCATTTAACTGGGAAATAGACACTTCAAAAAACACTGCAACTAGAGAGTTCTTTTCTTTTAGATGTATATTTCTATCTTGGTGCATTTCAAATTCTTGGAGTATAAAACATTTTAATAATGTACAAATAATCTTGTAAAAATTGAACTTCATGATAGAGAAACATAAGAAATAGCTGCAGATAACAAAAGTAATTTTCTCTTTAATGCTCAAAGTACTTAGTCCAACTAAAAGAAGCTACACTGGTTTGCAATGCCCTTGAACAGATTAAGATTCTAAAAGCCAGTCTCTGTTGTTTAAAACCAGAAAATTAATAATTTCCTGTATGATTTAATCAATGCATACCAGTATCTTCTTTTGCAAGACATTATTATCTAAAAATAACAAACCTAGTACACCATATAGCTATTTTCAGATATGTAGATATATACTAAGTATGAGATTGTATTATAAATTCCAAAGGAAGCGTGCTTTACAGATTTTAATGATTTTTTAGACTGCACTTGATGTAATGGAAATTCAGAACTGATGCCTACATTAACAGGATATTACAGGTAATGTGCAAGTTCAAAGGCTGCAGAAGATTCTTGAAATTGCTTTATTCTTTGGATAAACCTTAGATTGATTTTAACAGACCTGTACCTGTGATATCAATGAAGACTATTTCACACAGTACTGCTACTCAGGTGTTGTTATATACTGATGGCTATAAGGCAATGTTTTAACCTTCATCTAGTTTGCCACAGAATTTTTCTATAAAAGTAATTCACTACTAATCTAGAGAAATGCAGAAATACTTCAAAATTAATAAGAAAAAATAAAAGACCCTGTCCCCACTAAAGATCTTCTAGAATTCAGAGATTAAACCATGTGGTTAACAGAAACAAAAAAAAGTAAACAGTCCCCACCCCAGACGCTGATATTGCTTCCTAGACTTTCTGTTAGTTAACACCCAAATGAGAGTACAGGGTGCAAAAATGAAGAAATGACTGCCAAGAAAACTTCAAAGTTTTGCTTCAATATTATTTTAGTGAAGTAATTCTGGAAAACAGAGGGAAAATTTGAATTATTAACTTCTAAAGAAACTCAAAGCCAAAACTTTGAGATCTGGCAATGCTCTACCAGCTTAATATCTACCAATGGAAAAAAACCCAAACACACAACCTAAGGTGAAATCTAAAGCTGAAGTTATTTAAAGGCAAAAAGGGGAGTACAAATATATTCTACAATTAGTTCAGCAATGTTGGTGGTTCTGGAATACCTGACTGTGAGCAGCAGTTGGAGAATTACCACACACCTGGTTTTTCTGAGCTCTCATGACATCAACTTCATACTCAGCGTACTGTATATCCTGTGCAGGGTCCTTGGTATCTTGGAAATCACAGGAACTCTAAAAGAAGAAAAGACAACAACCCATATGTTAGAATTTATCTTCTGTTGTTTTAATAAGAAAATGCCACACTGTAGATCTAATGGAAGTATTTGCTTTTAATATGAATATATTAAAAGCTTGCATTTATGGACAAATTTTGTGCTATAGGACACAGATTAGTTAAAAGAGCTCTTCTATTAGTAAAATGATGAGAAAATAATAGTGCAGCTAGATCTTAAAGGAAAGAAAATATACTTATTTGGTAGTTGTTTATTACTCTTGAACCTCAAAATGAAAGTATCTTTTCTGGCCCATGACATTTGGGCATAGTTGAGGTTGCTCTTGCTAAAGTACTTAATATTCATGAATAGAACTTTGTTCTGGTTATCAGAAGCCTTATGTCAATAGCTGAGAAATTGATTACTGTCTTTTTGCCAAATATCTGAATTTTCATTTACTAACCTTGAGGCAACTATAATACCAAAGAAGCAAATACATTAATAGAAAGACACACTATCTAATGTATCAAATAAAGAGGGGTTTTTTTAAAATGTTGTCCTGCACATTTCTCCTTATTTATAACAAATGGAAAATAGCAAGAAGGCAATCATAGCAATGATGGAATAAAATAAAGCAGAATTATACTTCTTAGATGAGGTAATGGACAAAGAAATTTCCAATGCATAAAAACAGCTTTAATGTTTCAAGCATACTTTGGAACCAAAACAGAAGACTGGGAATCTATTTGGCAAATCTTTAAATCTTTAATTAGACTGACACACCCAATGAACACTGATGGAACTTGCAAGGTGAGAAGTCTATTCATTTCTCCAGCTGTTTCAGGAGGAGTTCAGATATTACTGGGGGAGAATAGATGTTTGTTTACTGTGTTTTTAAAGGCAATGAGGAAAAACAACGTGAACAATAACTGTTCTGTATAGTTTCTGAAAAGTAAAGTTTAGTCTTTATCTTATTTGAGCATCTTATACAGAGAATGGCATCTTTCCTAACTACTAAATATAGGGAGCTGATTGAACATGTAGAAGCTCTTAATCAAAGGATCACTGCATACAAATCTATATGTTTTAATAATGTATTAATTAAAAGGAACTGCTGAGTGAGACTGAAATTCCAGTCATTGGACTCGAAAGACAAAAAAAATCAGTAGGGATATTACTACTATTCTGTAAAAAAAGCAGCTGTGCATCTGGCATGCAATAAATACCTACCTTGGGAGGAAATGTTTTCTCAAATACTTTTTTCCACAGTTCCAAAGGTGTGTTTGCACGCATCTTTCCAATATCACTATCCGAGGCAGGTGGAGGTCCTAAGGATTCCAGCACAGTGTAAGACAAGTATGTTGTCATAACAGCATAAAATATAAAATAATTTTGCATAATGATCCATCTAATTTAGTATTTTATCTTCTACAGTGACAAGATGCAACAAATTTGAAAAAAAAACCATTGATCTCCTACCATGAAATGGGCTGAGAGGCATTGTATATTGTATTTTCTTTTAGATCTAAGCTTAGTGGTACTTTAGTATTTGAGGTAGTCCTGATACTTTATTAAGCTACCTAAAAAAACTGTACAAATAATTCTCAATAATATACTGAATCATGATTTTAAAATTTATAAGCCATTTCCTTCAATAACTGATAATGATGTGCTATGATTAATTTATCTGCTTAAAATGTTTTTCTCATTTTCAAAACAATTAAGCAACAAACACAATGAACAGGGAATATCCTAACCTATTTGGCTCAGCGAATCCAGGCCTGCTGGTATAAACAGAGGTTTGCTGGGATCCACTGATACGGATTTGCTAAACAGAAAAAAAAGAAGTGTATCAAGTGAGCATTTAGCAATCAATGAAAAATTACATTATTCTAGCCAAGACTAGAGTCTTACTGGGCTTTGCATACAAATACGTGTAAATAAAAAAGTACTCAATTCCAGTGGTGACCAGTTTGGGGATCGCAAACAAAGGAGTAATCACTGTCCTGTGCAAACAGAGGCAGTTGAGTAACAGGACTCCAAGTCCATGGACAAGAACCTTTCAGAGATCATATTTAAGAAAAAAAAAGTTTTGATGATTAAAATATTTTTATTAAGTAATTTTAGACTCTAGGCAAGACATCGAATAGTTGAACAATAATGTTACCTTTTATCATAGCCAAATGCCAAGTGATTAATAAGAACACGGGCTTTCAGCAGCAGAGCCTCAGATTTACTGGTAAACTAAATGAATCAGAAAACAAAATACACATTATAACCTTCCATCATAGAAATATTAAATTATGCCATCTACGGAGAGGATGGAGCCTTGCTAATTCCTGACCTCAATAAATTTGGTATATGTTCACTGAATTTACTAGAATCTCACCCTCCCTTTCCAAAATATGAGTGTATTTGTAACTGAATATATTGATCAAGAAAGATTAAATGAACAATAGTATAAAGATTAAAGACTGAATTTTAAATTCCTGATTCAAAATCTTTTGTCCAAGACTAATGAGTTATTAAGATTTTAAATTAGATTAAAAACTATCCAGAATACCATAAACATTTAGAAAGGTAATGAATAACTATATAATTGTTCTCACATCATAAAAGCAGCTTCAAAGTGGCAGAATGGCACAGATTTATCAGAAAGCAGTTCTCAGAATATATTCCCAAACAACATGCTTATTCCTGTCTAAGGGCTCTTGTATCCTAATAGATTCATGTCTTTGGGAAAGAAGTCAGATCCCTACTGTGGAAAATTAATTTTCTCCCATTCATTTCAATGAGAATCAGGATTTAGCAACCAAAGAGTTCTGGGATTCTAGTTTTTATTTAATTACAGTAATGCTTAAATACTCTAAAAAAAATAATCAAGACAGTTATATTCTCAGTTAACAACAGACAAATTCATGGGTTTACATGGATGCAAAAGGACGTGCTGTGATTATAAGAATTTAAAGCAAGCATAAGTTGTTTTGCTAATCACTAAGCTACTATTAAATATGATTTATTTCATAAATGATGATACAATTAGACCCATCTTCTGATGCAGAGTGGGCCCAGGAGGCAGCGTTTTTGGACTGTGAATCTCAGCATGCATGTTTCTGCCTTAACAATCACTTTTGCCCATCCTCCTTTCTTGTACCAAAAATAAATTTGCCAAATACACAGTAAACTCAAGACAGTAACTAAGTTGGCTAACAGATAACTATTAGCTTGTATATGTGTAGCTTGTTTATCCACAGAGCATGTCCATCCATCCCCTGTCAATACCTGTACCTCATTAACAGGTAGCCTTACGAAGAAAGCTACTGTAAAACCAATTAAATCCCATTTGCTCTGGAAGTTTTACATTTCTATTGTTTTAAACATTGTTTTATAACAGAAATGCTGTTCATCTTCTCTATGCTTAAATAGAAAGTGAATATACACACCACTAACGATGCTCCATAATAATGTGAAACAAATCGAAGTGTCTTGCTTATTATTTTCCTCATTTCAGAGTCAAACTCCTGAAAAAGTTGATATTGGAACATATATGTAAGAAACAAACCCCAAAATATTACAGTTAGAACTTTTCTTTTTTTTTTGTATAAACTGCAAAGCATTTAGTCTACAATATATGAGGCTTTCAGCTGTCAGCATAATTATATCTTAAGACAGAATCAGTAACAGCCTACTCTGAAAAGAAATGTCACAATTCCCCTTTGTTTCTTTTTTACAGAGGGAGCCTAATTCAGGCAATATGTTAGTCCAGAAAAAGTTTTTTAATTGGGAATGTGTATACAATTTTCAGTTACTTTGATTTTGCTTTAAATTTTTAGAAGTAGAAATGCTGCCTACTCTAAAAATAAGGATTTTTTCTTTTTGTGAAAATATTTAAGTAAATCTTTGGGTATATGCTCTCTAAAGTCTAATACCTGCCAGATTTGAAAGGTGCATAAAAATATCTTTTCATCAATGTTTCTTTAACATAAGATCATACAGATGGCCTTCTCTGGATAAAGTGGGTGAAAACATGCTCCAAATGAAGCCTGCAGGAGTCTGTCCATAGACCCCAAAGGAACTAGGTTTTTAAGTTGTGCTTATTACATGAGAGTCACTGACTTTTAAAGAGGTCATGGCTCAGCATAAAGCTTTGGTATGAGACAAGGCAAGTCCCTTATTAATAAAGAATTAACTCCAAGAGTCAGCCAGGTATCAATGCACTATGCAGTCATCCAGAGAAGTGCAGGCTGCCAGCATGACTCCTGAAAATCCAACATACTGTCCTAGCTTCTCACGGTCAAGTGCTGTGAGTGTGCATTTGTTTGGATTTTTTACATTCTGGGAGAGAATCCAGCAGTACTGTGACAGTTTTTTCCTCTCCCCCATAAAAGATGAAATTACTTACTCCCTTGTCTCTAAAAGCTTAAAAAGTACTTTAAAAGAAGTTCCAGACCAAAATAATAGTTTACTGTTTGTGCTGCCACAATGAGCAAAAGATCTGATCAGCTGACTTGAGAGACACCCCTCTTTCACTGCCATATACTTAGAGGTGCTGTGAGAAGGGACAAATGGAGCTGGATTTCTCTCATTACAAAAGTAAGTCATCAACATGCTGTTTTCTTGCTTCCCTCTTTGGTCTGCAGCCACTTGTGTCTCAACATTTTCCAAGTACATCTCAAAAATCATCAGTTTGGGGGTGTTTTGTGAAGGAATGACACTATGCCTTCCTTAATGCTCTTGGATGGAAATATTTTTTTTTTGTGGTAGAACACTGACTGGCCATACTTTTATTCAAAAGATTACTATTATCTTAGCGAAATTTTAGGGTATAAAATATGTACTGGGAATATTTAAATTATTTAAAATGTATTTAAGTATTACTTACATGAAAAATATCATATTTGCTTCCAATTATCACCAAGGGTATTGGAAAAGGGTCAACTAACTCATAATCCTATTAAAAAGATATAGGACAGTTAAGCAGTGTAAACAAACTGAAGAAGATTACAACTGTTAAAACAACTGAAATGGGTTAAAACTAATTCACAGAAGACAAGGTTTTCAAAACCCTAAAGTTGATGAATAAACTTTAATGCAATATCCATACCATGTTCTACAATTTTCCCATTTTCTTCATAAATGGTCAGGAAATAATCCTTGTGAGCAGTCAGAACTCTTACTGGCATAAAAGGGCTCTTACACTACATACTCTAGCTCCAACGTTAGATGGGAAGGGAAGAGAGGAAAAACTTCATAAATTCCAGCCAGACTGGATTACTAGAAATGGCTTTTTGACACATTCCTTGCATAATATATAAAGGAATACAGACAAAATCTCAAGAAAAATAAGTGGAATGATTTGCATGTGTCACACATTTTTCCTTCCTACATCATGTTTTCAAAACTCTTAAAAAATATTTAATGTTTTCCTGTAGTCCATATGAAGTGAGATAATCCCCTCATGTGTTCATGCAATTATTTATTCAAGCTGCTTTGGTTGCAGCAGAGTGGAAAAGAGATGTAGCAGAGGTTGGCCTGTTATCTTCTAAAACCAGTTATTTTGCATACAGGTTAAATGACAGTCAGGATGTTGAAAAGAAGTTGAACATACTGAAAATCCTCTTCTTGGAGAGGAAAAATAATGGCTTCACTCATACACTGTGAAGGCAAGAGCTTTGAGCAAAATTATTGTAACTTAAAACTGAGTATATAGAATACAGAACTGAAAAGAATAGTTTTAGTTTCTTAACTAAATGGAGAAATTGAGATAATGTCAGAAACATTAAAACAAGCATCATTTGACTGGGGAATTAATTTTTGACTATGGAATACTCTAGGTACATCCAGCCTGTTTAAACAAAGTATGCAACTGATATGTTTCATAGCCAGTAATTCTTTAGCCAAGCCAATGGAATACATCTAATCCTTAAAAATATAATCTAAGAATTTCATTGATTCCCATTTATCATAAAAATATGTTTAGCTATAAAAAGGCAAATAAAAACCTGCATAAACTGTCATTTAATGTGACTATAAAACTCAGTATTTTCTCCCAGAAAACTGACACAATTTTTCCTTGAACAATGATGAAAGTAAAAAGAGAACCAAGAAGTAACATAAAATTTTATTTGCATTGTTTCTGATAGTGAAAGATAAATAGAAATTCTAGTTTAGAAGGTATAATTGTGTTCCCTACAGGGCAAGAATAACAATCCTCTTCTTAACAATCAATGGCATTATTATTTTTACATTATTTCAATAAGCTTGCAGTTTTCTGAGATGTATACCTCTATATGTAAACTTGACACTGTGGTCACGATTTATTGCCAAATGTGGTTGTAGGTATTTTGTTTTTGTGTATTATCTTCTCTAAAAGTAAAAAACAAAACCATAATCCAGATCTCAAACCCTATATTCTAAATCTGAGTGTTGCATATGTTGCTTTCCCATAAATTTTGAGTTCCTTTTAAATTTCTGGGCTTTATATGCATTTGCTGTATTAAAGCATTTTATAGAAGGTACAGTAACTAGATTTACATGCCAAGTCTTTGAATTGTTGAATACTTATTTATGCATTATATACACACAACATTTGCAGAGGTTTAATGCACAATGACTTTTCAATTCTATTGCGCATAATCTAGTTTAGCTTTTCCAGAGATTTAGTTAGCAATTATGTTTAAAGGACTGATGTTAACATTTCTGAAACTTTATAATTTAATTAGTTGTCAGATTATCAAAAGGCATTGAGTTTGTGATAGACATTTAAATAAATGCAAAGTATATAGTCATGTTGATGGCTGTTATAACTATATTCTTTGCTTAAATTTGTACCTTCAGCTAGTCTCTTGCTAGATGACTTTTGTACATTCTAGTTTTCATCTTCATTTTAAAAAGATGAGGGGGAAAAAAAAGCAAACTGCTACTCTAAAACTATTTCTTTTGATTGGTGTAACATGCCATAACAATCACATTAGATATCTAACAAAAAGATATAAGAAACCTTCTTTCCTTGTTTCTGCTCTTATTGAATTTTTATTAAATTGCTATAATTTTCCAGTGAACAGGTTCATCTACATCAAATGGATTTTCAGTCATGCATAAAAATCTAAAAGAGTTGTTTATGATTTTCAAAAGCATTATCTTTAACTGTATAAAGGCCTGTGACATCTGGAGAAAATATTAGAAGTAACTTACTGGGTGATCCCTCTGCAGATTGTTCCACATCTTCTGTTTAGGTTCAGCAGCTACTTCAGGATTTGTCTTTTCTAGTTTGGCTAAGATTTTGTTCACATGGTTCCTGGTGACCTGCAGAAGGTTCTCCATAGTAGTCCAGAGTTCATTAGGTTTGGACAGATCCAATACAAGAACTACAGCAAAGGATCTATTAAAAAGGCATTATTTGGTCACACATTCAGTGCACAAGGCAATCAACATTTCCATATAAAACTGTACTGTACTACAAATGTGAACAAACAAATGCCAAGAGAGAATTAAATGTGACAGCAAAGGAAGATGGCTTCAAAGGATACTCTGCACTCTGAAGAAACCTCTCCCTTGTCTCTTTTTCAGAACTACTATTTTGGCAACTTTCCATCATCGTAGGAGGATTGCATGTATCAAACATTCTTTCAAAGCAGTAAATTATGCAAATATCCTCAGCCCATTTGGCTCCTTCTTCCTGTATGACCAGGCATTTATACTGTCATGTATCCCTGCCATCTCATAAACTCTACAATCCCAGATGAAGCAATGTTAGCAAATAGTTAGGATCTTTCCTAACTATTAATATATTGGAAAGTTCTCTACTTTCATTATTTTTTTGTAATATGAAAGGGAAATGAGAAATGTTTTACATCTAATCTCCTTTCCTTCCAAAACCCTGGTCCCCAAAACACTAACTGCATTAAAGTGCAACTGTAAAGAACATCACAAATGCAGTCACTTGAATGGATGCAATCATTCTGTCACATTCCAGCCTGACTTGAAAAAGGGGATTCCAGACCAGAGTGGTATTAGAAAGGCTACAAAGCAAAGTGAATGTCCAATTTCACTTTAAAATGCTGTGGGTGGAAAAAAATCTGGTGAAAAATCTCTTGATGAAACTAGGTCCAGTTCATGGAACTTTTAAATAAGCAAACTGCTTGACTACAGAGAGATGAGAAAGCCAGTGAAAAGCACTTATACTTAAGTTGAAATGGTAGAATTTTTTTACTAACATGTTAAAGTATTGCCTTATGAACAGAGGTTCATTGTTCTTACAGAATGTTGCTATCCCACCAAAGAATCTTAAGATTATTCACGTCAGTAAAAAGGGAAGAAAAGACTGATGGAGGTGAAGATCAGTTAATTTAATTTACAAGGGCTGAAAAATGATCGTTAATTTTTTCTCTCCCAAGCTCTCTAGAAACAAAGAGCTTCACATGCCATGTTTTATTTTTATTCTGTCTTAGTCTGTCAGCAAATAATGGCATTATTTCAGTAGTCAAAACAGTAGCAAATGTACTTGATAAAAATGGTATCCCTCCTTTTCTTTTCCCCACAGAAGTTAAAGCTCACTACCAAGGAAGAAAAGCAATGCATCATAATACAAAACTTATCTTTTGATCCTTTTCTCCCCTTCCTTTAAACTCCATCTTCCCTAATCAAAAAACCCATAAAACGCACTCCCTAACCCTCTCATTTCTTCACGCAACTTTTCATGCATTTCTTCTTCCTATGCTATACTATTACTTTAATGGATTTTTCTCACTCCATTCTCTTAATTTGATCTAAATTCTTGTTTCCTTTAGTTTTCAAATAAGTTCAATAGCTCTGGTCCCTCTTGGAAACATCATCTCTCTATTACTTGATCTTCTCATTAGATGGTCATTTCCAAAACATCCACAGATTTTTTTGGTCACAATTTTTTGCCTTGTTTTTCACCCTAAAATACTGTCCCTCACAGAAAGAGCATCTATGTTTGCATGCAGAAGTAGGAAGCAAGATTGTATTTTTCACATATCCTCAAGTTGCTTTTTCTGCTCTTTTACCGAGCATAAAGATATTATGTGTTCTCTTTTTCTGTGTATCCTGTTCTATGTGCTTAAGGCCAACCTACTTCCTCCATGTTACCACTTTTTTTTTGTTGAGATTACTGTGAACTTGGTTTATTAGCAGAAAAGTACAAAAAGGAAGATCAAAGTATCAGTGGTACTACAGTGATTTTTAGAAAAAAATCACAAATGTTCTCTCTTACATTTTGAAAGAGATTTTCACACTAAAAGGTCTAGAGATTTACTTATGTTTGAAGGAAAGCTGAAATTAACTCTGGAATTGTAATATTTACACTCACCTTATGTTGTGGCTAGTGATTGGTATTCGAATGAGTTCCAGTAATGAGGTTCCACCACCTAGTTCCCAAAAATGAGCTATATCTTTAGGCTGTAAAAGAGTCTCTTTATGTTAGAAATGTGTGCTTCCATGCAATACCAAGGAAAAATCTTTATCTGGTAAACAGGCTTTTCATGCAAGTGACTCAGAACAAGAACACACTTCATTAGAATTTTCTAAAACCAAAACCAAATACAAAATTCCCCATGTTCAAGTAATCCCATATACACTCAGGAAAAACTCCTGGCATGCCTATGACTATCTTGATAAATGGCTATTGTAAAGTAAAAAAATAAGGAAGCAGCATGATTATTGATAAATGTTTAAAAAAAATAAATCAGGTTCTCTTCACTTTCTTTTTGTTTATTGCAGCTCAAGACTAATGTTTTTTGAGAAGTTTGCAACTGGAAAAGTAATGAACCTGTACCTTTGGATTCAGTTTCTGGGAAAAGCTTTAAGTGATTTTTATCTTTCAGAGTCAGGTTTTCCACTCCCCACTTCAGCAACTGAAACAGCAATTCCCTGCAGCAACAGTTATTGCTGCTCAGCAGTGTTGTGCTGTGGTGGGAATGGGTTCACTATTTCCATTAACATAATCTGCAGTGCAAAGTTTAGTGATGTGGAGACATAACCCAAAAACTTAATTATTATTTAACATCCTCTAAGATGACTGTTTCTCTCACATCGTTGGTTTGTACTCATTTTGCATGTTAAAGACAAAGCTAAAGGCATGCATACTATGTTGCAATGGGAAAATAAAAGCACTCAAACACAAGTTTTTATAGATGAATTTGATTGCTTTGTGTTATAATTTGGTCTCTGATCTACTGTGTTTTAGTGAGGGGGGAAAAAACATAATCCTGATTAAAATACAGAATTAAACTAGCTAAATAAAATTATATTAAACCCCTTTTTGTTTCACAGACAGTAACTTAAAACCTCTAAGATACTTTTATATAAAAATAAAACATACTATTTTTATGCCTATGTATATAGATATGTATGTATATATGGTAAATTATACTTTCTGAATACTCACTGTATTGTGTCTCCTTGCCCTTCTTCCAAAGGTATATTCCAAGGCTAATGTTGGCTTTGGAGTCTCTTCCCTATGCAAGGAAAAATAACTTCATTTTGTCAAGATCCTCTAAATAAAGGAAGTTAATTCTACAGTTACCAAATCACATTTCTCAGTTAGTTTAGGATTTGGCTTAGAGACAGCAGTACAGTGAGGACACTTCAGGACACAAGCTCTCAGGTACTGAAGACAGGAGAAGCAGCAGCACCAATCTGAAGAAATGGGCCATTTCTCTAATACTGGAGGAGAAGGACTGAAAGGGTCAGATGACAGGTAGTAAAGAAGGGAAATAAACTCATTCATAAGTGATCAACCAGCTACATTATGAATTATGCATACATTATGAATTATCACACAATATAACTGCTAAGTAAAATTCTTATCTACAGGTGAAAACTGCTTTTAAATATTTGACACATACCTCTCAAGACACCTCAATATAATAGTGGTCTTTCCCTGGAAATTAAAAGCAAAGAAGAACGCTACTGTACTATCAGTAAAGCATAAAAGTTGTATCACTAAATCAAGTTATTTAACATTCCAGTAATAAAGTACCAGAAAATTGCAAATGCATGTAATTGTCTGTAGCCTTATAGTGGAAACTTAACTCCAACTTTCAGTCAGAATCAAATTATACTACCATTATTATAATTATAAACTAATAGAGATGACAAATACAGTAATAGGAACAGTGTACTTAAAATTAGACACTAGTGATCAGTTTGACCAACTCTTTTAAACTGTTTAACAGTTTTTAATTATAAATAACACATTTATGTAATGTGTGATTTCCACTGGAATTAATGATTACTGATGAGATGGAAAAAAAAGACTGCTTAAAATACAAATAAAGAACAGAAAAATACGTCTTTACTTTGTTAAAATTCAGATGCTGACTACCACGCCACACTGAAGGGGCTAGCACTTCTACAGTTAACTCCTGTGTCACTTTCCATCTCAAAAATCAGTGAATTTCGGGTAAATATGAAAAATCATTGTATTTTCTCTGAAAAAGGTATTTTAAAAATTGCTGACTAAGAGATTGCACATATACCAGGCCTTCTTAAAAAATATGACTCAGTTCATCAAAAAGGCAGATATTTCTTGGCTAACTTTACAAACAAATGCCAACAGAAGAAAAATATGAAATTACCAGTGACCAACTTACTGGACACTTATGGGACAATGAGTTAAAACAACCTCAGGTATATGGAATCCTGAGTTTGCAATCAGTGATAAAGCATGTTCAAATAGGTCTGACATAATACAGACACAATTCATTGTAGCATATCAAGGCCTTGATCTACAACAAATCTGGTATCAATGCACTTAAACTGGATTGTTACCAGTTAAACCTTTACAAGGGAAAACAATTAAAGAGGATAGCATTATTTTTGGCAGTTACTTTAAAAAAATAATGAAGCCAAACCTCAAAGAATCAGCACATCATTGATAATCCTAACCATAAACTTGAATTCACACTGTGTGGAATGCCTACTCTTTGCAGAATGAGACCATGACATATTCTGTCTTTAAAGTTAAGTCAACCTTAACATCTGAAAATATCAGATATTTTCCCTGACACAAACTATGTTTGAAAGGTGTATGACTGTACAGTATTTAGCATTACCCCATTTTTGTTTCCCATAAATAATATTGATTTTTCCCAAACTTCCCCCTGCTTGACATCATCATCAGGGTTTTCTCTCTTCTCCACTTCAGCTATAGCAAGATCCCACAAAGTATCACTAGTTGGAAAAAAATAAGAGGAGAATAATTAGAGAAAAACCACGGACCATAATTCCTGAAAATATCTAAATGAAGGTTATTGTGGTGTATATTATTATTGTGATTATTTCACATCACATGCCCTCTGCTTGTCGCAGCACTTTTAACCAAACAGGGTTAAGTAACATTCCTCAGGTAACCCCAGCTGCCATTTGTGGCACACACAGAGCAAACACCAGCTCTGCGGCGGGAGGCTTTGAGTACTTTTAATCACAGAATCAATTAGCTTGAAATAGAACTCTGAGATTGAGTCCAACCTGTGTTCGAACACCACCCTGTCAACTAGACCATGGCACCAAGTGCCGCGTCCAGTCTTTCTTTAAACACCTCCAGGGACGGTCACTCCGCCACCTTCCTGGGCAGCCCATTCCGGTATCACCTTTAAAAGGTTTTCTATCGACTCAGGCTTTCCGCAGGACCTGCAGGAGGCCGGCAGCCTCTGGAGGTGGCAGCTCCCCGACGCCGGCCCCGGAGGAGCCGGGCACGGCTCGGGGGGCTCGGGAGGGCTCCGGACCCGCGCTCGGTGTCCCGGGAAGCTGCTGCTCGGGGCACGAAGGCTCCCCGTTCTCAGGCTCACCCGTGGTCACCTGCGGATCCCTTCTAAGCGGGGTCCCTTACAGCGGCAACCGGCCAAGGGCCGGCCGTGCCGCCTCCTGCCCCGAGCCCCGCTCGCTTTCAGGGCAGAGGCCGGAACGGCCCGTTTTAAGCCCGCCTCCCTCCTTCCCTCTCTCCGTCCCGCCCTCTCTCTCTGTTCCAGGCTGTGCTCCCCGGCCTCTGGCTCCTTCTCCCCACGGCAGCGGGAGCGACCCCCCGACACCGAGCCCGGGCAGGGCTCCCCAGTACCTGGGCTTGGGCATCGCTCGGCGGGGCGCGGGCCCGGCTCCCCGTGCCCATGGGAACCGCGCCGGGAGCGCCGGGAGCTGTAGTTCCGCGGGACGGGGCAGCTCCCGCCCCGCCTCCGGCCCGGCCCCGGCGCTGTGCTCGCCCCGGCTGCCTCTGTCTGCAGGGTTCCCTCGCCTCTCTGCCGGACCCGGGGTGAGCGCAGGGTCCTCAGGAAGCTTCGACTGTAGCATTTCTTGTGAAGGGGCAAAATACTCCAGCTATGGAGGAAACCAGGGATGAGTAAATAAGTCATAAATGAGTCTTATCTGACCTCAGCCTTAAGCACTGGCTCTTGATGAACTATTCATGTGAGATTTGTTAGCAGTGGAGGGAATGAAACGAGACCTGAGTAGTTCCCTTATACAGAACTGCTGTATAAGAAAGTGTATTTATGTTAGAATAATTATTGTGTAATTATTTTATTGTCCAGCGGAGGGCAGCGAGGGTGATTGGGAGACGGGAGCATCTCACTTCCGAGGAAAGGCTGAGGGAGCTGGGCCTGTTCAGCCTCCAGAAGAGATGATTGAGATGGGACCCCATCAATGTCTGTAAGTATATGAAGTGGGAGTGCCAAAGGATGGAACCAAGCCCTTCTCGGTGCTGCTGAACAGTAGGACATGAGGCAATGGGCAGAAACAGATGCATAGGAGTATAGGGAAGATCCATTGGATTATGAGGAAGAACTTCTTTACTGTGCAGCTCACCATGCACTGGAACAGATTGCCCACAGAACAGACTGCCCACAGAACAGATTGCCCAGTGGAGTCTCCCTCACTGGGGATATTCAACAACTGTCTGGATGCAATCCTGTGCCATATGCTCCAGGATGACCCTGCTTGAGCAGGAAGGTTGGACCAGATGACCCACTGTGGTCCCTTCGAACCCTAGCCATTCTGGGATTCTGTGATTTTGTAGTCACTGGGGCATACAAAGTAAGATGCTGTAACAAACAGGGACTAGATTATTTCAAGCAAGATCTATCAAAAATCAAGTCCAAAAATCATGTTAGGCTTGGGTCAGAAAGCAGCATTTAAAGGGTACAGTAAAACAGCAGGATGACTGAATATGAAAGAGGTATAGGATGTCCTACATCAGGGAAGTGACTCCAAAATCCAGGACAACAATGACAGTTACCTTCTGTAGCTGAGTAGCTGCTTTGTGTCTTGAGAGAGTGGAGACAGAAAAACGTAAATGAAATAATTTGACCTGTTTGATCAATGCAAGGAAAGTGGACTCATTCATACTGATTAACACAGATTTAATTCTAACTGTTCCTTCTTCCCTACCCAAAGAAGGCTGATATAGCCTTCTACTGACCTAAGTAAAGCCCATTCTTTACATAAGATTTTTTTTTCTAAATTTAGCTTGCGTAATCACTCAGTTTCAGTTCCAGAAGCATTTGTGTGGCTGCTTTTGTCTGGTTTTATTTACTTCCAGGTTTTTACATGTATCTTCTAAAGAATTTGCTAGCCTCCTATGGAAATCACCGTCTTGCTAATTAAAATCCAGAAACTTCATTGGTCAATGTTGTACAGTGCAGGTCATGCTGATGCCTTTCTAAGTGCATTTCTTTCATCAATTTTAGTTCAACAGAACCCTTCTGGTATCTTGGTATATATATGAAGCCAATGCTGATCTATAATCAGCAGCTAGATGTAGCAAAAACCCTGGACAAAGCTGGTCTTGCTCTGCCAAAGATAGCAAAACTGTGGTAGGAATCATTCCTGGCACTATAACCTAGGCAGGTATTGCTGCAATAGCAAGAGTATAAGATTAAAAAGCAAAGTAGTTTTGCAGTGATTTACTCACTGATAGAGATGGCAAATCTGGAAGATGCTGCAGTACAGATTTGAGCTGGGAAGCACACTGCAAGGGTGTACGGTTATTAAGTGTACTGAAGCCCAAATAAATTAGAAACTGTAAAAAAACCGGAACAAAACCCAAAAAACTTCTTCTTCCTAATTCATTATTACTGAGTTACTAATCACCTCAGTTAAAGTTAACTCAAACTAATGGATTGCACTACACTGTATGGACTATTAAAGCTCTACCTAAAGCTTTAAGGGCTGAATTCCTTTATGCAAGAATGACTTCTTTCCTTCAGGAAAAATTAAAACCTATAAAAACTGTGGTAGTCTGACAAGGGATTCTAACAGCAACACCAGCCTTCTGTTATAGGGAAATATAGGCTTCTATTTGAAAAAAAAAACTTAAATCCAAAATAACAAAGAACAATAATGTTGTGGATTGTATTAAAAACTCGAAGTTTTATCATTTGCCTGCTGTACTACGGGCGTTAAGTGGGTCTTGCTTGTTTTAGAAATGAGCAGTTCTCTTACACTGCTGCTCAAAATTGAGAAGGCAAAGTGAAGTTCAAGTAATATATTAATTTACACTGAATTCTAAATATTAACTTCTGACTGCTAGTTCGAAGCAAGCACAAAAGGTGTTCTTAAATTCATGACAGAAGGTGAAGTCTCCTTGCATGTGGTAACATATTAATCTCACCATGACAATATTTTTAAAACCTAGGTTCTGCAAGCCTTGAGAATGGGAAGTTCTTCAGCATCAGTCCCAGAAGTCCCTGCTCATTTGGCAGCTCCCATAGTATCAGCACTGCTGAAGATTAGGAGGTGAGAAAGGTCTAGTTCCTACCTGGGCTTTAGTCATGGGTTAGGTAGCACAGTATGAATTGTTCTGGTAGAGGCTCAAGGTTAAGACTAAGATGTGGATTAGTCATAAGGCTTGGGCTGGGTGGGGAAGGCAGATTATCTGCCTGGGCTCTGAAATTTTCAATTTAGCTGTCGTGTGTTGTGTGGTAGCTCTGGAGCTCGATTAATATGGTGCAAGTCCTCTGAGATATGCATAGCTGTGTTTGGAAATGTACCTGCGTGTGTAAGAGACTCCACCTGCTGATTCTGTGAAGGGAAGTGTCTGCCTGAGGTTACTATCACTACAGAAACCTCACTCTTGCTAATCAAAGTCCTGGAAGAAGCTCCATTGTTTAAGGTAGTGTTGTGATGGTAACTGTGATTCTGAGTGCATTTATTTCATAAAAATTAACACAGCATTTCTGCTAATGTGGCTGTATGGGATTAATGGTGACCTAAAATGAGCAGTTAGTAGTAGTAAGTCTGGAAAGTGCTGCCATAAAAAGGGAAACTAATGCATGAATTGTTTCTGCAGCAGAGAGACCTGAACACTAAAGAGCAAAGCAGTGTCTAGAGTTACCTATCCAGAGGGAGGCAGGAAGGTCATACTCTGCTTCATAGATTGTATGCTGCTTTATAAAACAACTGTTTGTAAGGCTCTGATAATGAAAGCTGTTTAAAAAACTCGATTCTGCAGATCAGCTGTTTGTATTGCATATCATGTTGTCTCCAAGTTTAACAAAGATTTTAAAAACTATATGACAAACTCACTACCAAAATGCTCCACTTTTTTTGCCTTCTAATAACAACCACAATCATTTGAAACTGGACAACTAGGAAATAATTACTAGTTGGAGTGTCCTAGGTTATCATAATTTCACGATGACATGAAGGCTTTTGTGTTTGTAAACTGAAGTTTCTAGTCATCATATTTGAGACACTTTAGTAGCATCTGTTTGAATTTGTAAACACCCTGCCAACCTCAAATATGGAATGTAACTATTCTGCTGATTGCAAAGGGGTGTTAATTCTTAAATGAATTTCACCATGCTATCTGTATCACTTCACATAGGGTGCACCACAAAAAGATGATGCTGTTGGTGCCAAGGTCTCCTGTAGCTCCCAATATGCTTCTCTTGAGGATGGCAGGAGACTGGCTGCCTATGAGGAGGTAAACCTCCTGCTGCTGGCCCTTCCTCAGTCAAAGAGAAGGGTCTAGTGCCACAACTACCACCAAGGGATGGAAGTTACCAGGAAGTTCTTTCCACCTTGCAAATGTGAAAGCATCTAGATAAGTAGGTGTGTTAATTTCGTTGTAATTTTCAAGACAAAGCGTTGGCCCACGGTACCATTCATGGAGTGGTGTCTGAGCCCTGTGGACTGAAGTAGCTGTGGCAAGAACTTCAAAAGCTTTCTGAAGAAATGTATTTATCAAGTCAGCTTGCCTGTTTGCCTTTCCACTTAAGACCATGTTCTCTTCATGGCCTGTATCTCCCTTCCAGTCTATTTTAATTCTTTGGGAGGATACTCCCTACCTTTCACAGAGGGCAAACAGCTGGAAATTCCTTTTCTCTCACTATGAGTATGTATATATCTGAAATGTTTAAATATCATAAACCAGAGATTTTCAATTGTGAAATTACTCCAGTTTTAAGTAATAATAATTTAAAAAAAACAAACAAAAAATGAGGGCTGGCAATAAGGGATTAATGATCCATGATTATTAGCATGAGCAGAAGTGGAAACTGTAAAATCTATATAAATCAGTGATTTATGTTGAATACCTTCTTTATGGCTGAACCTAAATTATCTATTGGATTATGCTGCTGATCCATTTCAGAGCCTGTAGAAGTAGTTTATTTGCATGGAAATGAAAATGAGAAGACAGGAAGGAAAAAAAACCTGGGTGTAATTTCTATACATAGAAATTACGTAGCACTGAGGCTTGCAGCTGAAAAAGGCAACTGGAAAGTGCTCCCAGGTCCAATAGTGCAGATGCAGCATTATGTCTTCAGTGTGCAAGAATATTATATTTGTATTATAATATGAAATGTATAAATACAAACTAAAAACAAAAACCATGACTTTTACAAAATAATATTATGACTCAATGTATATACATTAAACATATTATACATGGATTTTATATGTCTCCAAGTTTACTCACAACAGTTTGAGCAATGGTTTTCTGTGTTATTCTTGTGGTTTGAATTGTGAGTCATTCTTGCCATCTGCATTATATTATTACTCTGGATTAAAGAAATTAGGTACAGGATTTTGTTTAACAAAACTATACTAAAAAACAGTGCCCTTACAATTTAGATTTTTTCAAAAGGCTGGAGCAGAGAAGGTTTATTTAGAAATTGACCTGACCAAGGCTGAAGATTTGCCAAGTAAAACAGCTGTGTAACAAAGCCTAGAGTGTATCATGAGAATACTCTTTTTTGTAATAGTTACACGATGTGCTTATGCTTGGGGTTTTTTTAGAGGAGAAACAATTACACACAATTCGTTCTTTTTAGTCCCATGGTCCTTGTCTTGCAAATAAAAATAGTTCTGGAAGTGGAAATTGTTTTGTATTTGACTGTTCTTTTAAACAAAATTCCTTTTCAAAATGAAGGTTATACAACTGGTATAATTTTGAAAAATAGAGATGAACAGGTGAAGAGAGTTGAAGAGAGTTTGGTCCCTGAGTATATATCTGGAAAAATCTATTAAAATCTAGACAATTGTTCCCAATGTCAGGGAACAATTGTGGGCACAAGTGACCACCAGTAAAGCATAATCCCTAAAGTGGCTCATCATCATTCCAGTTCAGGCCAGGGCTTTAATTAAAGGGCTACTCCTGTTACATACCTCTGAAATGAATATAAACCTGTCCACCTTTCTTTTGTTTATGGACCTGCTTATGCTCTATGTCTTGTACATCAGAAGGTTTTCTATCAGTGTAGAAACCCTCTAATGAAGATAATCATGATACATAATCCTTTCATAACAAAGTGGGACATTTAGTTGGTCTGTTGATTGCAAGAAGTGGCTGACTCCCCATTTCCTTGAGTTTCTGTCCACTTTGAGGTGCCAGTAATGCTGGAGCAGAGAGGTGATGAGCAGCTCCTTTCAGCTGATGAAAGTTGTTAATGTAGCTGGCAATCAGTAGAGTGATCTCAAGAATCTATAACAGGAACATACAAAACTCTTTGAAAAATAGTGATGTGTTTTGACTGCAGAAAAAATAGCTAACTTTTTAGCAAGTGACAATCACCATCAACTGGAAAAGTACTTGTACTTTACAAATTAATGATGGGGAGAGAGGAGATACCTAATAAAGCTTTTTTTCTATTGCTCCTTGCAAATAATGTAATGTTATTCCCATCAGTACATATCAAAGATACTTTGTCTCCCACAGTCTTATATGATTCAGAGAGATGGCTTCTTTCACTTTGAGAGAGATTTTTAAGTCCAAAATGATGACACTCCGAGAAAAAGCTTTCACAATGTGGTCCCTCAGTTTTGCCAGAAAATCTCCAGTGCTCAGAGGAGTCAAGATGCAGGGTAGATAAACGGAAAAAAGACTTTCCAGAGCTTTTTATCCTATTTTCTCTTTGTGATCTATACAAACCTTGATGAGACACTGAGCAGGCTGCCCAGAGAAGCTGTGGATGCCCCACCCCTGGAACTGTTCAAGGCCAACTTGGATGGGGCTTAGAGCAACCTGGGCTATTGGAAGGTGTCCCTGTCCATGTTAGGAAAGGGCAGAAGTAGGTAATCTTTAAGGTTCCTTCCAACCCAAACCATTCTGTGATTCTGTAACAGCACAATCCAAGGGAAACTTGAACAGATGTATTTTACTACGCTTATTTATGAAAACACAGCTGTGTTTTGACCCCAATTTATATGTGGAATCTTGTATTCTGTTTCACAAATTGTTCTGACTAACAGCAAAATCTTTTTTTTTTTTTTAAGAAATGTAGTCAATCTTACCAGGGAAGGAGAGACTCTAGATTTAAAAAGCATGAAAATTTCTTTTTACGAAAGGTAAAAATGTCCTCGGATTTTTCACAAGACTGATTTTTCAGATGGTGTGTTCTACAATTTCACTGCAGAACACAAACATACTTTTTAAAAAATTATCTCTGGTGCTGATCAAGCAAACAGACTAGGTTTTAGGTACTGCATATAATTTCTGTCCTTAATACCCTTCTATGAAAAATCTGCAATGTTACAGAAATGGACATGAAAAGAAACACATTGGTATTGCCACAGTTAGCTCTTACATTACTAATTGTTTTGCACCTTAAAGTCATCTAACAAAAGTCAATAATCTGACAATGCTGGGATTAAAGAAGGTGTTTCATCTTTCACATCTGTTAAGGATTACCCACTAGAGATAGCAGAAAAGCAGATGGTGGGAAACTGTTTCAGGTAATATACCAACCTTTGGTTTTGTCATGGCAAAAAGGTGTTTTTCAGTTGTTCTGTCCTTTGTCTGAGCGTTGTTAACAACCAACATAAAATCATCTTGATAGCCTCCGAAAGTCATCAGGCTCTTATATGAATACGTAACCGTTAATCGCTTAAAAAAGAAAATCCCCAAAACAAAACACAAAGCTATTAAGCAGGACAGTGCAAGAAAAACAGATTATGACAAATTTTTCTTTTAAAAAATATAATTACACATTGTATTTTTCAATGGCGTTAGCCTCTTATGAGTCTTGAAATTAACTGAATTTTGGGATAGCTTCATTCAGACCTTCATGATGAGAAATTGTCATTGCAGTTGACCTCTGTTTCTATTCCAAATTAATCAGATCAAAGATACAAGCAGGTTTGAACTCAGGTCTGTAATTCCATTTAAACGAGTCCTGACTGACTTTGAGAGAAGTTAATTTTAGCAATTCCATTTGAAATTGAAGCAGTGTCTAAATAAATGGCAGAGTATGAGACATCTAAAAGAATTTAATTCCAGGACTTCTTTTTGTGCA